GTGGCAGGTTTCAGCCAGAGGGTGAGGATATTTCGGTGGCATTTTTAAGCCAGCGGGTGAAGATATTTCGGTGGCAGATTTAAGTCAGCGGGTGAGGGCATTTCGGTGGCATTTTCACCTAACAGCGAAGATTGATAGTATTCTAGTATGGTCAAAAGAGAGCATCATGACTCCCGAGGGGGGTCTGGGCGGGATCCGGACAGGGTGCCCCGGGAAACTGGGGACTTCTTTTTTAGCCAACAGTAACGCACTTCGTGGTCTTCGAGTTCCCAGAACTCCATTCCTGGGCATGATTTTGAATGCCCGGAGCCAACTGTAGGCCACTCGTGGTCTTCGAGTTCCCAGAACTCCATTCCTGGGCATGATTTTAAATGCCCGGAGCCAACTGTAGGCCACTTCGTGGTCTTGGAGGTTCCCAGAACTCCATTCTTGGGCATGATTTAGAATGCCCGGAGCCAACTCTAGGCCACTTCGTGGTCTTCGAGTTCCCAGAACTTCATTTCTGGGCATGATTTTGGATGCCCAGAGCGACCTGTAGGCCACTTTGTGTTCTTCGAGTTCCCACAACTCAATTCCCGGGCCACATTTTGAATGTTGATGCAGGCTGAGGCTGAGGCAGGCTGAGGCCGAGGCCGAGGCTGAAGGCAGACTGAGGCTGAGGCTGAAGCAGGCTGAGGCTGAGGCTGAGGCAGGCTGAGGCTGAGGCTGAGGCAGGCTGAGGCTGAGGCAGGCTGAGGCTGAGGCTGAGGCTGAGGCTGAGGCTGAGGCAGGAGGCTGAGGCAGGCTGAGGCTGAGGCCGAGGCTGAAGGCAGACTGAGGCTGAGGCTGAAGCAGGCTGAGGCTGAGGCTGAGGCAGGCTGAGGCTGAGGCTGAGGCAGGCTGATGCTGAGGCAGGCTGAGGCTGAGGCTGAGGCTGATGCAGGCTGAGGCTGAGGGCTGAGGCTGGCCGAGGCTGAAGGCAGACTGAGGCTGAGGCTGAAGCAGGCTGAGGCTGAGGCTGAGGCAGGCTGAGGCTGAGGCTGAGGCAGGCTGAGGCTGAGGCAGGCTGAGGAGGCTGAGGCTGATGCAGGCTGAGGCTGAGGCAGGCTGAGGCTGAGGCGAGGCTGAAGGGACTGAGGCTGAGGCTGAAGCAGGCTGAGGCTGAGGCGCAGGCTGAGGCTGCAGGCTGAGGCAGGCTGAGGCTGAGGCTGAGGCTGATGCAGGCTGAGGCTGAGGCAGGCTGAGGCTGAGGCCGAGGCTGAAGGCAGACTGAGGCTGAGGCTGAAGCAGGCTGAGGCTGAGGCTGAGGCAGGCTGAGGCTGAGGCTGAGGCAGGCTGGCTGAGGCAGGCTGAGGCTGAGGCTGAGGCTGATGCAGGCTGAGGCTGAGGCAGGCTGAGGCTGAGGCCGAGGCTGAAGGCAGACTGAGGCTGAGGCTGCAGGCTGAGGCTGAGGCTGAGGCTGAGGCTGAGGCAGGCTGAGGCTGAGGCTGAGGGCTGAGGCTGAGGCTGAGGCTGAGGCTGCTGAGGCTGAGGCTGAGGCTGAGGCTGAGGCTGAGGCTGCAGGCTGAGGCTGCAGGCTGGCTGAGGCAGGCTGAGGCTGAGGCCTGAGGCTGAGGCTGAGGCAGACTGAGGCTGAGGCTGAGGCTGCAGGCTGAGGCTGAGGCAGGCTGAGGCTGAGGCTGAGGCAGGCTGATGCTGAGGCAGGCTGAGGCTGAGGCTGAGGCTGATGCAGGCTGAGGCTGAAGCAGGCTGAGGCTGAGGCCGAGGCTGAACTCAGACTGAGGCTGAGGCTAAAGCAGGCTGAGTCTGAGGCTGAGGCTGAGGCAGGCTGAGGCTGAGGCAGGCTGAGGCTGAGGCAGGCTGAGGCTGAGGCAGGCTGAGGCTGAGGCTGAGGCTGAGGCAGGCTGAGGCTGAGGCTGAGGCTGAAAGCCGACTGAGGCTGAGGCTGAAGCAGGCTGAGGCTGAGGCTGAGGCAGGCTGAGGCTGAGGCTGAGGCAGACTGATGCTGAGGCAGGCTGAGGCTGAGGCTGTGACTGCGACTGCCGTTGCCACTGCGACTGTCATGGCGAATGCTACTGCGACTGCGAGAACAGCAGAATTCTACATCTGGAGTATCACCTGAATCTTAAGGGGAATGCTTCCAGATATGCTTCTACACATCGCTGCTAGGTTCATTTGCCTGGATGACTATGTTTGCGGGTGAGGAGGAGGAGGAGGAGGATGGAGGAACCGAGAAGAGCTGTGCTCGGCGCGGGCATCCAGCCGCCAGTCGATGCGTCATTCGCTTGGTTGGCCCAGCCGACGGCTACGCATCCAGCGCGGTGCTGCGCCCGTACATATGCTCGCCCCTTGGCGTGGGGCTGGCGGGGGGCCAAGCGGCGAGCTGTCCCGTGATTCGAGGTTGGTTTCGCCGGCACCCTCGAGTGGCTTGATATGTTTTTCCACCCGCCACGATGTAGCAGGTCATTAGCTCGTCCTCGCCCTCTCCTCGTCATCACTGACGGTCCATTACAGGGAGCTCTCCTGGGCAGCAGCAGATGATCTCAGAGGCCTGAAGGGCGCCTCGACGCTGAGCGACTCGTCTTGCAGTGGCTGGCCCTAGAGGGGCTGGCTTTGACCACCGCTCCACGCCACGCATGCGGCTCTCAGGAGGCAGAATGCGGAAGACAACGCCTCCTCATCCTCCTTTTCCTCCTCCTCCTCCTCCTTCCACTCTTCCTTTCCTTCATCACCGTCATCATCACTATCATCATCCCATCATCATCACCATTATCATTATCATCGTCTGCATCCTCAGCAGCAGCATCATAACCATACCAAACATCATCAGCATCATCACCATAATAATAATAATCAGCATTATTACCATCATTATCATCCAGGGCTGGACCTAAACAGTGTTTTTGCGATTTCGTGGGCCGTTTTCGTTTCGACTTTGTTTTGCGGTAAGAGCGGATTGAAGACAGAACGAAGGAAAACGAAAACACAACGAAAACGACAAACACCGCTTAGGCTCAGCCCTGTCGCCATCATTCCTATCAACGCTATCATGTATATAACGATCGTCATCGTCATCATCCTCGTCCGTATCAGCACCAGCATCAGCTCCAGCATCAGCCTTGCCATCATCATCATCACCACCATCAGCATCATCATCATCATCATCGTCGTCGTCACGCATCGTGACCATCATCATCATTCGCAGCATCATCATCGTCGCCATCTTCGCTGTCGTCGCCTTGTCATTGTCTTCGCCCTCAGTATCAACGCCATCACCAGCCTCATCATCATCCTCACCATCATCGTCAACATCATCGCCATCACCACCATCATCATCAGCATCATCACCATCATCAGCATCCTCCTGAGCAACATCGTCATCACCATCACAATCACCATCATCATCATCATCATCATCATCATCATCATCATCCTCATGATGAGCATCCGCCTCATCGTCATCATCAGCAGCAGCAGCACCAGCACCATCCTACTCCTCCTCCGTATGATATTCATCCTCATTAGCTTTATCACCATCACCATCATCGTTACCATCATCAGCACCATCATCTTTATCGTCCCTTCCCTTTTATCCCTCCCCCCGTGGCCGCCGACAAGAATTTTGGCACAGCGGCCCCCCCCGTGCAGAGCTCCCGCGCCTTGCAGACCCCGCGCCTCGTGATCTGGTTCACTGCGTTCACTGCGCCTTGGAGGTCTGAACACATTCTCCGAGGAGGAAACGATTCATCTCGCTTCGCGGGTTGCACGTCCGGAGCACGTACAGTCCAGTCGTTGTCGGGTCTCTGGGAACTTCTTGGGGGCCCTTTGGAGGCCTCTTTGGGGCCTCTTGGGTCCTCGCGGGGGCGTCTGGGAGGCCTTTTGGGGGGCCTCTCGGAGCCCCGTGTGGGCGTCTTGGGGGCGCTCTTGCGCTGTCTGGTCCCGTCGGAGACTGTCTTGGGGTACTCTTGGGCCGTCTTGGGGGCCTCTTGGGGCATCTCGGCGGCCTCTTTGGGCTGTCTGGGGGCCCTCTTGGGGCCCTCTCTAGGGCTTCTTGGGCCGTCTGGGGGCCACTTAGGAGGCTGTTTCGGCCGTCCCTCCACAAGCTCCACGGACGACCTGTATGCACCGTACGGCGCTGGCGTCTCCCAAGGAGTCCTCGATCTTCGACTTGGGAATGGTACTCCGCGTAGTTGTTCGGCCCTCGGAGCCGAAACATCGTGCACCGCACCGCGTTGGAACGGGGCCTGCTTTCCACCACCACGACCAGAAGTTGGAGGGGCGAAGGAGGAGGATGAGGAGGAGGAGGACGAGGGGGAGGAGGAGGAGGTGGAGGAGAAGGACCCTCTCCTCCTCCAACTCATGGTGGTGGTGGTGGTGGTGGTGGAAAACATGCCCAGCATTGGAACGGGGCCTGGAGGGAGTCCACACATGGCACGGTGCACGAGCGCCGCTCTCGTAGGAGCCGCGCTCCGGGGGCCCCCCTTGGCCGAGCCTCTGTGGTGGCCGCCCCCCGACCGCCGAGCACCGCCAGACGCCGCCCCGCCGCGGCTCATGGTCACGACGCGAGGCTCGGCATCGCTCGGGCGGGTAGTCGTCCGGGATTGTGATGGGCCTGTTTTCCACCACCACTACCATAAGTTGGAGGGGGAGGGGGTCCTCCTCCTCCTCCTCCTCCTCCTCCTCCTCCTCCTCCTCCTCCTGCTCCTCCTTCTCCTCCTCCTTCTCCTGCTCCTGCTCCTGCTCCTCCTCCTCCTCCTCCTCCTCCTCCTCCTCCTCCTCCTCCTCCTCCTCCTCCTCCTCCTCCCCCTCCGACTCATGGTGGTGGTGGTGGAAAACAGGCCTATCAGATTGCGTTTCCCATAAATTTCAACCTATGGGAAACGTAGCTGTGGCTCACCGAGTGCTTTTTTCCCGGAAAGTTGCGTTCCCCCCAATCCGCAGGGCCGAGCGTGTGCCTCCTTGCCGAGCCGCGGGGGGTCTGCGCCGCCGCGCCGCGCGCGCCGAGCCGCTCCCGGCACGCCATGGCGCCCCCCCGCCGCGGCCGCGCAGGGGCGCTCGCGCTGTGCGGCGGGCTGGCCGCCTGGGGCGGCTCGCGGGCCGCGCCGCCGCCTCCCCTCGCCCTCGGGACCCTCGGCGGGGCGAGGCTCGGCGGCGAGCGGAGGGGAGGGGGGGAAGCGAGAAGGAGAGGGCCTTCCCAGAAGGCGGCTGTGATGGGCTTGGTTTCCACCACCCCACCAGAAGTCGGATGAGGGAAGGAGGTGGAGGATGAGGAGGAGGTAGAGGAGGAGGAGGAGGAGGAGGAGGAGGAGGAGGAGGAGGAGGAGGAGGAGGAAGAGGAGGAGGAGGAGGAGGAGGAGGAGGAGGTAGAGGAGGAGGAGGTGGAGGAGGTGGAGGAGGAGGAGGACGACGACGAGGAGGAGGGGGACCCCCTCCCCCTCCTACTTACGGTGGTGGTGGTGGAAACCAGGCCCATCAGGCGGGGCTTCTCAGAGGAGCCCTCCGGCCTTCTCGGAAGTGTTCGGCGTCTTCGGGGGAGGGCTTCGGAGATTTCTCTCGGGAGGCCCGGGGACGTCCGAGCCTTCTGAGGAGGCCTGCCCCTTCTCACTTCCCCCTCGTGCTCGCCGCCGAGAGGAGGTCAAGTGAGCTGGAGGGCGCAGGTTCGTGTCGTGTCGACCCTGGCAGTGGTTCTTGACACCGCGGGGATCGTTCAACCTTGAACGATCGGCCGTTTCCCGAAACGTCAGATCGTTCAGTTTCGACAGATTCTGGGTCGCTGGCGACGTTCAATGTTGAGCGCTGGCGGCGGGGTCGCCGCCAGTCGACATGACGCGAACCTGCCGTAGTGGGTCTGGCGCAGACGATTCAGCGATGAGGTGTGCAATCGCGCATTGGTTGTTTATTATTGCGGGCAACCGTGCGCCACAGTCGTGGGGGGCACGAGCTATAGATGTTGCACGGACAGCTGCCGCCGCATGTGCAAGAGGTGCATTGCTGCATCCACGCGCTGCTATTGCATTCAGCTCGCAAGCTATTGCATCCAGGCGCCAGCTATCGCAAGTACTATTGCACCTCTCCCCGTGGGGACCCAGTTGCGCCAGACCCACTACTCCGGCATGACGACATGACCATGGCAGATCTTTAAGTCAATGCACCCCTTCCGCACCACCAATCTTTCGCCCTGCCTGCTCTCTCTCTCTCTCTCTCTCTCCTTACGCGCGCTGCCTGCTTGCTGTACTGACTGACTATTTTTGCTTCCGCATCTATACTACTTTGGCTCTAGGGGAACGGAAAAGGAGCGAGCCTGCGGCGCGCGCACGCGTGCGTCGGCCGGCGGGCCGGCCTCCTCCCTTCAGTGTCTTTTAGTGTATGCTTGACGGAATTATCCTTTCTTCCCCATGCCATCTGCGGAGCCCACGGACCATGATATATTATCGGCACATCTTGCAGGGATTATGGATATCCAGGCATAAGACTCTTCCCGCACATTGGAGACCGAACAGGCATGAACATAACTGTTCCTGATGGGCCTGTTATCCACCACCACCACCACCATAAGTTGGAGGGCGAGACGTCTTCCTCCTTCCCTTCCTCCTTCTCCTCCTCTTCGTCCTCCTCGTCGTCCTCCTCCTCCTCCTTGTCCTCCTCCTTCCCCCCATCCAACTTATGCTGCTGGCGGTGGTGGGAATCACGTCCATCAGTTCCGAGGTCCCCGTGGATTTCTCGGATCGGTGCCTGGTCCCCCCACGGCGGCGCCTCCGCTGCCGCCTCGTGCGCCGTGCGCGCCATGACAGAGGGGCTTGGCGCAGATCCAGGGAATGCGCCGTGAACGCCCAACCGTTTGTGTTATGCACTTCTTCTTTTTCTACGACCCCGGGTCGGGAACAATATCCAGCTGCCCACCACGGCAACTCCAACCAACGTGCCCAGGCTGTGGGTTATAAGCCTCGTGGATGTTCGTTGGGAGCTCGTGGGAGGCCTCTCGGAAGCCTGCTCGATGCCCCTCGGGGGCCTCTCTCAGTTTTGAGGTTTCTTGGGGGCCGTTTCGGAGTTTCTTGGGGGCCTCTTGGTTGCCTCTTGTGGGCCTCCTGGGGCTGCTTTTTCTATGACCTCGGTTCGGGAAACACATCTCGGCGGCAGGTTTTGTTCACTGTTGGTTTCCGAGGGCCCCTGCTGGGCTTCGGAGCCGTCAGAGCCGTCTGGGACCGGAGACCTTTGTAACCAGGAAGCGGTTCAGACCTTTGGCCCGTACCTCCCCCCCTTCCTCTTCCTATCCCTCCTCATTCTCCTATTCCTCCTCCTCCTCCTCCTCCTCCTCCTCCTCCTCGTCCTCCTCCTCCTCCTCCTCCTCCTCCTCCTCCTCCTCCTCCTCCTCCTCCTCCTTGTACCCCATCCACTTCCTCCTTCTCTTTCCTGTTCCCCTCGTCCTCCTCCTCCTTTTCCTTCTCCTCCTCCTCCTTTTCCTCCTGCTCCTCCTACCCCATCCATCTTCCCCCGCCACGCAGGTGGTCGATGCGCCCTTGCTGCTGCTAATCCTCCTCTCCCTCTTCCTCATGGGTTCCCGTCCTTTCTCCCCCTCCTACCCCTCCCTCCCTCCCTCCCTCCGCCTCCTTCCCCCGTGCCCCTCCTCACTCCACCCTCCCTTCCTCCGTCTCCTCCCTTTCGTTTGCTCCCTTCCTCACTCCTCGAGGCTTTCCTGTTCGGAGGCAGCGACCCGGAGCCGGGGTCTCCCGAGTCCATTGAGCGCGTCAAGGGGTTGTTGCTCAAGGCGGACGCGGTGTTTTTCGACGTGGACAGCACCGTGGTGCGAGGAGGATGACATTGATTAAGACGAGGAGTAGGAGGAGGAGGAGGAGGAGGAGGAGGAGGAGAGAAAGGGAGGTCTTTGGAGGAGCGGGTGGAAGTTGAGAAGCATTGGTTTACGAGGATCATGAATGTGGATTGGGAGGAGGACGTGCAGGAGCACAAGGGGTAGCAGGAGGGGTACGAAGAGGAAGAGGGTGGGTGCGCTGGGGAGGCTCACGAAAGCGGAGCGGAAAGGGACGGAAAGGTTCAGAAGCAAGAGGAGGAGGAGAAGGAGGAGGAGAGCGGGCAGGACGAGGATCAGAAGCAAGGGTAGGAGGAGGAGCGCAGCAAGGCAACGAGCAGGAGGAACAGCAGAGGTGAAGACGGAGGGCATCGACCTCATGGGCAAGTGCTTCGGGGTCATGAAGGAGATCGCCGAGCTGACCCACAAGGCGGCCTCCTTCACCCTCCTCATTTCTCTCCTCCCTCCTCCAGGAGGAGGAGGAGGAGCAGGGAGAAGGAGGAGAGGAAGGACGGAAGAGGATGAGGAGGAGCAAGAGGGCGAATGGGTCAGGTAGAGTTGTGGATTGGGGCGTCGAGGAAGACAGGCTCACGCACAGGGTTTCTCCCCGTCCCACCCCCCCTTCCAGCAGGCGAGCATAGGACGAGGACTGAGGGACGGGCACGTGTACGGTAGGTTCATGTCGTGTCGACACAGCGGTGACCCCGCCGCGGGCGTTCAAGGTTGAGCGCCGCTAGTGGCTCAGACTCGGCCAGTATGGAACGATCTGACGATCGAGGAGCCGCCGATGGTTGAACACGCCACGCGGTGCCAGCGACCACGCATAGGGTCATCTTTGCACGAACCTGCCACAGGGAGGATGGCGAGGAGGAGTCAGGCCATGAACGGGAACGTGAAGTTCCAGGACGCCATGGCCGACAGGCTGGAGCTCATGGCGGAGCATGGCATGACCAGGGACTCGCTGGAGGAGTGCGTGCGTCGCAGTCGTCGTCCCGAGTGTCGTTCCCCGCACGACATGTTGGGATACACAGTCAGATGTGCATTCTCGCCATTGCATTTTCGGGTCGCCCGAAAGACCGTCCGAGACGACCCCGAGATGCCCGAGACGGCCCAAGAGGCCCCCAAGATGCTCCAAGATGGGGCTCAGCCCCCGAGATCCCCAACATGCCTCGAAGGAGGCCCCCAGCAGGCTTCACCAAGGGAGAGATGTTCAGCGTTGTGCTTGCAGTGCCTACCTGCCAGCAGTGCACTCCGTGGCGCCAGGCCCAGACGGTCACATGCGGTGACCCCAGAGCATCCCGCCTCGCAAGCCTGGCGTGCCGCGGCTGCGAGGCCCCAGGAAGTCTGGCTGACCCCTGAGAGCCCGGCCTCTCCAGCCCCGCACACCGCGGCCGCCAGGCCCACAGAATCCCCGAGAGTCCCTGAAGTTCCCGCCTCGCCGCGAACCAACGGGGAGGCGTCCCGCTGCACTGGCGTCGAGCACGGTGTCCACCAAACGCCAGAGCAGCATCAAGACAACCGGTCCGTAGCCATTTGGGCTCGGGGCCCCGCTGGCTCGAGGTGCGGCACTGCCCCACCGCAGATCCCCACCACCTCCAGGATCTACGGGAGGAAACAATATGGCCATTGCCAAGATGCCGCGGGATCTCGTCGACGCCGATCTTGGTCATGGTCTATGCCGGGCGTCGCTGATCCGCGAGGATATCCACGAATCGACGATGGCCAAGTTGTACGACAACCAAGATTTACCGGCGTTCAGGGCCCATCCCGATCCGATACATCCGAATCGATATCGATTCTGGCCGGCCCAGTCCAATTCGATTCCGATTTTCCGTCGATCCGATGCGGCCCGACGTTCGCATGTGCTCCGTTGTGCATCCTGGCGCGGGCGACCCGATCTGATTTCGACTCATTGCCGATGCAGCCCGATCCGACACACCCACACACACATTCCGCTTCGACCCGACGTCCCGATTCGATGTTAATTGATCTTGGTTTTGGTCATGATCCTCGTCTCCTTGCACCCCAAGCCCAGTCTGCGACCACTTGCGAATCCTATCCACTCGACGCAGGCGTATGGGAACCCCCCGCTGGGGATATCTTGGCCACAGACATCCTTCGAAACCTGAATCCCAGCCGGCCTTTCAGAAGTCTGATCTGCAGGGGCAGGGATCGCACTTTCTTGCCTTAACATGCGATGTCTTGATTTTGTCAATGCGCGGCCCCCAGAAGTCACGACCCTTTCCCCAAGGCCGGTTGTTCATCCTGAGCTGTCTTTTGACGACCCCGAGGCCCGACGAGGCCCCCCGGAGACCAGAATCGACAAACAATTTCCCATCTTGATTTTTTACCGACGCGAGCATGTCTGGTTGCCTATCAGTATCGTTTAACCGACCCCTATCCCCATCCCCATCCAGACCCCCACCATCTCAGCACCCCGGTTTGGGATTTACCCCCCGGCACCCTAGGAGGCCGCCTATCTTCCCATCAAGAGGGGTAAATCGGCCAGTGGGACCCAGGCCACGCCCATGGGGATGGGAATCGGCGAAGCGATGCTCAGCCGACCCCGGCAATGCCGGGAACCACTGGGGCGATCTCCTCGCGCCCAGGGCGCGCGTGGTGCGCCGCGGCCGCGGCCGCGCTGGCGGCGGCCCGCGCGCGCGCGCACCCGTGCTCGCGCCGCCGCGGAGCGTGCGGCGCCCGCTGGCGGCCAGCGCTCCTCCGAGACGGGATCTTGTCCATGACTCAGTTGTCCTGACACGCACGTGTTGGAGCTCGAAGAACAAGCACTGCACAAGCATGAACTGTCGGCGCACCGCCCGGATCTCTTGGATCAGCGTTGGGCCCCCTTTGCGGCTTCCTGGCGCCGCCCCTGGCGCGCTCCGCGCGCCAGCGAGAGGGTTTTTCAGCGCGGATCCAAGAAATCCGCGCGGACCGTCGAAAGGTAATGTTTATGCTGTCTTTGCTTCCTCGAAACTCGTCTCTCATGCAAGCGTTATGGTCCGCGTCTCGGGCGAACGTATCGCGCCAGAACCCACGTGATAAATCTGCTTGTTGAGCTCCGTGTCAGCACGCTACGGGCTGCGTGATGCGTACTGGGGCCGCTAAGATGGAGGACCACCATGGTAAGGCTTCTGGTTGCGCACGGGCAGCCCGCCCAGGTAGTTCCGGCTTGCCTAGCAGGCCCCGGAGCCAGATGGCCTCAAACGTCTCCCCGAGGAGTGCGGGACGGTCCCAACACCCTGGCGCCGCCGCCGACTTTGCCCCTGTGGCGCTCCGCGCCCCGGGGTTGAGGTGTCGAGACCGCCCTGGACTACTCGGGGCGCCTTTCTGGAGGCTAGCTGAGACTACTCGGGGGGCCTGTTGAGGCCAGCCGGGGCTGCCCTGGGGGGGGGCTGCCTGTGCCCAACCCGAAGCTTTATCAGTTCACCGCGTGGGTCGAGCTTCGTGGGCTCCAGCAGGCGGCGCATGTGGGTATGTTAGGTCCCCCCTTGGGGCGTATGGTGTTTTTGTGTACATACAAGTGTACTAGAAGCATCGCGCGCGCTTCGCGCGCGCTGAAGTTCTAGCTAGCTTGAAGGATAGCGCGTAGCGGAGGGAAGAAGAGAGGTCAGCAGTGGCAGGCAACCTGGTCGAATTAGCCACGATTGCGTCCTTCGTCTGTCGTCCTTCGTCCGTCGTCTGTCGTCGTCGCCACCCTCGTCGCCGTCGTCTGCGTCGTCGTCTGTCGTCCGAGGCGCTCTTTGTGGCCAAGGCTGGCTTCGTCTCGAAATTTTTGTCCAAACGCACCCCTGGGCATCGCAGTTTGTTTTGCATCTTGGGCTGTCTGGGAAGCCTTTTGGGCGTCTCGGGAGCGTCGGGGTGGGGTGGGGGGTCTTGCGAGTTACGTGGGGCTTCCTGTTGGGCTTCCCAGAGCCCAGGGCTGGAAATGTCCGTTCGGCCCCCGCCTGGACCGCTGGGCTCTTGGGGGCCTCTTTCCGGCCTCCTGGATGCTGCTTGGGGCCGCTTGGGGGCCTCTTGGGGGCCTCTTGGGCTCTCTTGGAGGCCTCTTGGGGCCTCCTCGGAGCATCCTGGACTGCTTCCTGAAGTCGTCATGGGACCTTGGCATGTCTTCGGGGGCCTCTTAGAAAGAGTTTTGAAGCCTTTTGGGTGCCGTCTTGGGGCCTCTTGGGGCCTCTTTTGGGTTTCTTGGGGGCCTCTCGGGGCCTCTTGGGGGCCTCTTGGGGCCTCTTGGGGGCTTCCTGGGGGCCTCTTGGGCCCTCTTTGGGGCATCTTGGGGCGGAGAGCTTGATTTTTCAGTTCGCATTCCCTCTCTTGGGCCCCTCTTGGGGCCTTCTTGGGGCTCTCTTGCGCCGTCTTGGGCGGCTCTGGGGCCGTCTCGGGGCTCTCTTGGGCCGTCTTTGGGCCCTCTTGGGGGCCTCTTGAGCCGTCTTGGAGCGGTCTTGGGAGCCTCTTGGGCGGTGCTTCAGCGCTGGAAACACGAAACAGCGAGAATGCAAAAAACATGGAACACAAAAACTCATGAACATCAGCGATTTTGCCCTCTCGGGGCTGTCTCGGGCGGCATCTTGAAGCCTCTTGGGGCGTCTTGGGGGCCTCCGGGGCAGTTTAAAACGCATCGTGCGTCGCCAGAGACCCCTGGAGGGCGTCTTGGGGGTGTCTCGAGACCGTCTGGGGCCGCGGGGATTGCTGTCTGAGGGCTCCCCAGGGCGATTTCAGGCCTCCCAGAGGCGGGCCCGGCCCCTAGGCCCGGGCCCAGTCCCATGTTATATGTGTATATGTATCATGTATGTATGTGTATAGCTGTATATATATACACATATACATGTTAACTTATATATGTATATCGATATGTGTCGGATGTTGCTTTACATACACGTATGCACACACAGATATCTGTATACACATCTGGATATGCGTACATATGCCATGTCCATTTCCATATCCACCGCTCGCTGGTGCTCCTGAGAGTCGGTCCCCCTGGCAGTAGATGTGGATGAACCCCCTCCTCGCAACATCGGAGCCCGCGGCCCTGGTCGAGCGTGGCGGAGCTGGAGGAGGCTGCGGCCGCAGAGCTTCCTTCCGTCGAGCTCGCGGCGAGCGCGCCGTGGTCGCGCCCTGGCGCCGCCAGGGCGGACGACAACGACCTGGCGGATCTCTCGTGCGGCCCGGGCGCGCTCGACGACGGCGGCCGTGCCGCGGGGCCCCTCAGCCTCCATCGAAGAAGAAGAAGAAACCAACTTTTTGTCGCAACCGCGGGCGAAAGCGCCAACGGCGAGTCGAGTCGGCTCGGGCCGCGAGCGGGACTAATTGCCGGCGCGCGCGCAAGAAGACACAAACGCGCAAACGGAAACTTTCGGAGCCCGCGCGGATTTTTGGGGTCGGCGCTGGGCTCCCTGGCGCGCGGATCGCGCCGGGAGGGCCCAGCGCTGGTCCGAGAAATTCGCGCCGAGGTCCGAAAGTTTTTCCAGCAGCTGCGCGACCTCTCTGAGTTGCTGGACTGGGTCGGGATCGGGGCGGCCGTGGCCTTCTTCGTGGCAGTTTTCAGATTCGCCCACGACGGCAGCACTGCCAGGCTCATTACAGTCGGCTCAGTTGTCGTTTGCCTGATGTGTTGCGTCGTGGTCCAAGTATGCATAGACGCAGCAGCTGGTTGCCGGGCTTGTTCCAGAAGCTCCAGAAGACCTGACCTGACTGACTACAGAGCGGCACGACCAGACCCGCGCCTTGATGAGTCGCCACGTTATTGCCCGTCGTGTCCTCCTCGTTGCTTCCTCCTCCGGGTCACCGCAGAATGCAATCGTGTTGGTTTTGAGCACGCGGATTGCTCGAGACGTAGTTTGCAGCCCAATGACGATGGCAAGGTAATGCCAGGCCATGGGCTCGCGCGCCCGCATCAGGAGCAATTGACATTCAAGATTCGGGTTGGGCTGCTGGAAAAAAGAAGTATATACTCATCAAACACATGAATAAGCATCCATGCCAATGCAGTACATCAGTACTGTCGGTTCGTCAGCGATGACTCCAACCAGTCAGTTTTTGCACGGTGGGCGTGTACACCATGCGGTGTGGCCATGTGGTGTACGTATGCAATTTGGTGCAAGCTATGTGGTGCAAACTCTAGGGTGTTATCTAAGTCGTGCGCGCTATGGGGCACACCTGTGTGTGGGGCACGCTACGTGGTGCAAACCAGGCTTTGCAGGCCCAGTGGCGCAAACCATGTGGTGCACGCTGTGCTGCGCAATCTGCTCGGCGCTGCCTTCGTGGTGCAAGCCATCATGGCGCCCACGAGGCGCCCGCGCGCGGGCAGCAGGAGCAACCTCGACGTGCCCAGCGCGGGGCGCGCCCCGCGGCGGGCACCGGGCCACGCCTCTCGGCAGGTCCCCCTTAGCGCGGGGCGCCTGCGTGGCGCCCACGGGCGGGGACCGGGCGAAGCCGCGGGCACGCCTCCCCAGCACGGGGCGCCCAGGGTGGCGCCCACGGGCGAGCACCAGGCGTAATCTCGGCATGCCCCTCCAGCGCGGGGCGCCAACGAGGCGCCCACGGGTGGGCACCAGCCGAAAGCCTGGAGCACCCAACCAGCTGTTTAAAACAACTACGCAGGAACCCTCCTACGTGCAATCACGGCTTGGGGAACGTGAGGGATGCAAACCCCACGGCCACGCATTTAACACAACAAGTCACATGTTCCCAACGCATCCACGACGGACGTGGACTGGCCAATCACATTTGCCTGTCACTTTTACGAGCGGCAAGCAGTAGGGACGCACATCGGGAACACACATCAAGAACAGGCATCGGCAGCACACTTGCATACTGACATCTACCAACGCACCGATACCACCTAACATTGACCAATCACAGGCATCTTTCATATGCCGCAAACGCGGCCCCAGGCGCCCTGGGGCTGCCGACCACCAGTGGCACCCAGACTCCCCGAAGGGGCGCCCCGCCTCCCCGGGTCTCCCTGGAGACTCTCCCTGACGCTGTCTCTTTCGCCTTTAGGCCCTTCTCAGGTCTTTTTGTGCGTTCCAGGGTGTTCCTGCAGGGCAACAAGGAGGTCCAGGATTGTTTCAGGACGGTCCAAAGAACCCCCCTCGATTTTCCAAGAAGGCCCAAGTGGACCCCCAAGGGGCCCAAGCAGGCAATGTAATTGATTTTTCTGTGTGGTCATTGACAGATTCTAGCGTTCTCGCTTTGAGAATTTTCAGGCTGCCGAAGGCGGCCCAAGAATCATTCGAGACCGTCCCAGAGGACGCCGAGAGGCGCCCCATGACGGCCAGGGACTGACCCAAAGGCGGCCCAAGAGGCTCCAATATTGGGAGCCGGGAGACCTCGCCTTCGAAACGACCCTCGAGATCCACAGCATGTCTCGTAGAAGGCCCCCATTCACCAAGGGATGGATAGTTACACTTGTGTTTGCAGTGCCCACCCGCCAGCCCTGGATTCCGAGGCCGCCAGGCCCAAATAATCCCATCTGGTGATCCCTGAGCATTCCGCCTCGCAAGCCCGCATGCCGCGGCTGCGAGGCCCAAATATTCCCGGCTGGCCCCTGAGCACCCCGCATCGCTTTCACAGTCTGGACACCTTCCCGTGATCCGGTCTTTCATTCTGGGTAGACGGTTCGCTGGCCTGGGCCCGGTGTGTGAGGGCCCCCATGCGGCCAGAAACGGCGAGCAAATGTCGCTGCGATTTTCTTACGACGCGAGGGTTTTCCTCTTGCGCCTTCTCCTCGGAGGAGTGCGTCGTCAGGGAGGGCGTGCCCCAGTGGTCGCCTGGGGTGCAGGAGGTCGCCTTCCGGGCAGCGAAAACTGCAGCCCACATTGGTACGGGCAGTGAGGATCGGCATCCTGCCTCCTGCTCCTTCCCCTGCTCTGCTCCTCCTCTTTCATTCTCTTCCCCCGCCCTCTTTGCCCTCCTTCCCCCCCTCCTCCACCCCCTCATTCTCCCCCCTTCCCCTCACCCTGCTCATCCCCGCCCCTGCCCGCCTCCCCTGCCCTTCCGTCCCCCCGCCCCTCCAGGGGTGGGCGGGGGTGCAACGGGTCCCAGTGTCCGCACACGTGGCCTGGGCTGCCCACGAGGTCGTGAAGATGTTCCACAAGCAAGGCACCGAGGTCTACCTCGTCTCGGGCGGCTTCAAGAACATGCTCTACCCCCTGGCGCTGGAGCTGCACATCCCCCAGAACAAGGTCTACGCCAACGAGGCCCAGAGGAGGGCCAAATATTCGACAGCGGCTGCCCCCCCGCCCGGCCCAGCTCCACTCAGCATCGGCCCCAGGACCCCGCCCGGGGTCCGCCCTGGCCGGCGCGGATCCCGCCACGGCGGCGAAAAAGCCGAGGAGGGGCCGAGGAAGGCCAGGCAGGGCCGCCGCCGCCGCTGTCTAGACGGGCCCTCCTCCGGGAGGTGCTCTTCGACGAGGACGGCCAGTACGCGGGCTTCGACCGGGGGAATCCCACGGCCGCTTCTGGCGGCAAGCCCAAGGTTCGAGGAGGCGCGCAAGTCGATCCAAGTCGGGCATGTCTCAGAGCGTGAATTACCTACCCCGCTTTCGCTTCTAGGCAAAACCAAGCCATACCATGCGCCTCCTCGTCAAGCGGCCTGACCAGTACAGGCTGCAATTTGGCATCGTTTGGTATCTCTTGGAAGCGAGGGTGGTCAAAAGCGAGGTAGGTTTGTTTTCCCCCTAATGTCCCTCTGCGGGGGAACTTCTGCAAGAATGGACTACGTAGCCTGGTGAAGATTTTTGTCGTGCTCCGTTGACTGTTCTGGCTAGTTTCGAATAGTGGAGGATGACGATTAATAAATGACCGGGGGTCGTGTTTACGCGGCGGCGCCCGGGATGACGATTAGAAAAAACCGGCCGCGGGCTGGAAAACTATTTTTTGAATCGCTCTCCTCCAGTCCGAAAATTGTGCAGAAATTACAGAAAACTATCCTTTTTAATCGTTCTCTCCCATTGTTTTGATTCATCGCCATCCCACATTATGTTTAATATTTCTTCCGAAACCCGCCTGCAGGAGGACATGCCCGACCTAAGAATTGAGGCAGGCGCGAGGATCCGCGCGGGGCCCCGTTTCCACGCAGCATCGGCGCGCTCCGTCGCCGCAGGGGGCGGCACCGGCTGCATGCTGCGGGGGTGCTTCCCTCGATCCGTGGATCTGGCACCCACGCTCCATGCCCACGGATCCCAAGTCCATGTCAGCGTGCGCCCGAAAGTCGGGTGTTGCTAGGAGTACCCCTGGCCCAAGGTGCCCCTAGGATCCTCGGGGTGGCCCAGACGGCCTCCAGAGTGCCCCTCACGAGGCCCAGAGGGCCCCAGTGGCTCCAAAATGGTGCGAAAAGCTTGGGGCACCTTGGGCCAGGGGCACTTCCAGCAACACCCGAGAAAGGTTCTCAACATGATGAAGCGCAAGCACGGCTACAAGACCATGATCATGTTCGGCGACGGGGCCACCGACATGGACGCGCGCACGCAGGGGCCAGCGGCGGCCTTCGTCGGCTACGGCGGGGTCACCGTGCGGCCGAACATCAAGGCCCAGTGGAGGAAGAGATACCACTACGGCGGCCCTTGTCTCGTTTTCGTTTTGTGTTTTGACCTCCTGGGAGGCCCTCGCCGCCACCGCTGGATTCGCTTCGAAATTCCTGTCAGAACCCACTACGGGAGAGGGCGTCCAGGGAGCAGCGTTGTTGTTACCCGTTTTGTGCTCCTAGAGGCGGGTGCAGACTGGTTCATCACCAGTTTTCAGGAGATCTTGGACGTGCTCCCCAAGGGCCACGCGCTCTGAGCGAGCGGGGGCGCTGAGCTGACGGGGAGGTTTCGGTTTTGGGAGATCCGCCCACTGCGAGCGGGCCAGCACGTAGTACCTAATGTCGGTTGCCGGGTCATCGACCTAAGTGCGCATCGCCCTTGGATTTTTCAGTTGGCTCTACTTGCGCGGCGTCCAGATACCTCAGTCTCCGTCACCTCGCCTTCCCCGCCTTCTCCCCTCTCAGTTTCTCGTCCTCTTCCGCTGGCTCTGTTTGCCCGATCCCTCCCAGCGTGGCGGGCAGGGGGGGGGCCAGGACGACCAATGCCTGAAAGGACGGCCAGGACGAAGTAAAAGCATGGACGGGGAGATGGAGGAGGGCGGAGAAGGAGCAGGCCTTAGGCTCGCCGACCCCGAGGCTCGAAGGCCTCGAGCTCACCGACCCCGAGTCGGTGGCAAGCCCTCCCTGGACCGTCGTTGGGCCCTCTGGGGACTTCTGCACAGCTCCTCCGAGGATCAGGAGGAGGAGGAGGAGGATGAGAAGGATGAGGAGGAGGAAAAGGAGGAGGAGGAAGAGGAGGAGGAGGAGGGAGGAGGAGGGAGGAGGGAGGAGGGAGGAGGGAGGAGGGAGGAGGGAGGAGGGAGGAGGGAGGAGGGAGGAGGAGGAGGAGCGGTATGTAGGATCCTCCTCGCCTGGTGGGCGTACCCCCCCCCTCGCGGGGCACACCTCCGCCCAGGCCCTGGCGGGACTGGGGAGCCGACCCCGCCGGCTCCAGAGGGCGCTCCACCGCCGGCGGCGCCGCGAGGCCCCACGCTGCCCACGGCGCCAGGAAGGGTCTGTTGGAGAGGGGGAGGGAGGAGGAGGAGGGAGGAGGAGGAGGAGGAGGAGGAGGAGGAGGAGGGAGGAGGAGGGAGGAGGAGGGAGGAGGAGGAGGAGGGAGGAGGAGGAGGAGGAGGAGGAGGAGGAGGAGGAGGAGGAGGAGGAGGGAGGAGGAGGGAGGAGGAGGAGGAGGAGGAGGAGGAGGAGGAGGAGGAGGAGGAGGAGGAGGAGGGGGAGGAGGAGGAGGAGGAGGAGGAGGAGGAGGAGGAGGTCCGTAGCCATTTTGGCTCAAGGCTAAACGTAACGAAGGTTCGGGGAACCGAGGTGTTGCGATTAGCTTTGAACTCTTCCGCATTGAGGTGGCTCGAGCCATCTTGGGGCTGAGGGCCCACGGCGACACTTCCCTGGCAGGCAGCCAGATCTCTCTCCGTCCAGTCATGCCCGCTGTTGCCATGGACGACAGGGAGAACTTCGTTTCTCCGCCGATCACACCTCGAGATGATCGCAGCCGCAGTGGTGAACAAGCGAGGCGTGTGCAGGATCTCGCTCTCGTCCCAGCAGAAGCAGTCCGACGTCCTGCGGCGCAGTCTCCAGCAAACCGTGGGAGGCGTGCAGCAACCTCAGGCGGCACGGGCGGCAGTGGTACCCCAGCAACGGCTGCGCGTCGCGCAGCTTCTGCTGTTCAGCCTCCTGGCGGTCCTCCTATGCAGCACCCCCAGCTTCCCAACCTTCCCCTTCCAGGTGGACAACAGCAAGCTGGCGAAGGGGACATTCGCCAGTATGTGGACGCCACCAGGAACACCCTCATGGAGGCCATCCAGAACATCCAGTCGTCGGTCGCCACGCTGGCGGGAACAGTGCAGACATCGTGTGAGTCCCTCGGCCAGCAGATGGAACGTCGTCCATCATCAGCTGGGGCTTCGCGGCCGCAAGTTGTCATATCTTTCGTCACTGCTCGTCCAAGGGGGCTTGGTTGCAGTGCAAGAATGTCGCGGCACGCAATTTGAAGTTGATGACTTTCTCTACCACCTCCATCGCCCCTTCCGCGCCTTCACCTCTTTCTGTGACCCTGGCGAGGACAACGCTCCCTCTAACGCGGGGGGAATCATTACGTTCGCTCCTGATTTTGGTATGCTCCCTGAGACTAATCGCCCGCAGATTGTTCATCAGGTTTGGGTTCCAGGACGCGTTCAACAGCTTCAAATTCGGTTTCCTAATGGAGTTTGGATCTCTCATTGGAACATACATAATCACGACCTCGCCACATACCGTAGGGATATCATATTCCAAGCAATTCAGGACGACCTCGCCAGGGCCTCTCGGGACCCCATGCACTCGTTCGTGGTTGTCGTCGGGGACTTTAACGTGTCACATCTCCCTCCGCGCCATCTGCACGACCATCCTCTTTCTCAGCAGCAGTTGCAAGGTTGGCGACGTCAGCGTGAGACCGTGTGGCGCCAGATCTTCGGGCTTATGACGGAGGTGGAGGTTGGGGACCACACTCATTATCACAAATCTAGCCACACGACCTCTAGTCTGGACCGCCTCTTTGTAAGTGTTCCAGGATGGGCTCTGACCCAACTTAGTACCGCTGGTCAGGTGCACGGCTTTCCTGAAGTTATGCACCAGCTTGAGCTGTCCGACCACGCAGCAGTCTCGACGGTGATGAACCCCAGGGACCCTCTCAAGCCCGGAGATAGGCCGATCCCCCACGACATCTTCAAGCGCCCAGAATATCGAAACTTTGTTCAGGCTGCTGCGCTGGAGGTCGACGCGAGCTCGCTGTCGCCACCGCTCTTGCTTGCTTTTCAGAAGAAGGTGATGAGATCGGCGGCCCAGTACACTAGAAACACCATGATCTTCAAGGACCCAGAAGCTACCCTCACCCATCTTATCATCTACAAATCGATCTCCAGGGCTCTCTGGCAGCAGGACTTGAATCTGGGACGCCGTCTTGTCGCCAGTCACCGTCTCGCCCGTCACTATTTGGAGATTGACGAGCACGCTGGTGTCCTTCGGCTTCGCCACCCCGTTGAATTCCAGATGGCTACCAACGTCGCCCAGTACAAAATGGCGGAAAAGAAACAAGCTGCGCTTCGCTCAACGTTGAACGCCGACGACCCCGCCGTGGTCCAGAAGAAAACTCGCCGTCGTCTTCGGGGGTTGGCGAAACGAGCTAGGCTCTGGTCTCCCTTTGATCGCCGACTGGTGTTGCAGGGGCTGCGACATCAAGGCCAGGTTCTCACAGCGCCTGAAGCGATGCTGGGCGCTCTGTCATCACACTGGGGGGAGATTTTCAGCGCGAAGCAGGTGGAGATGCAGAAAGCTGCCGAGTTTGTCGAAAAGTACGGGCCCAAGGTGGACCTCATGAACCTCCCGCCCCCGTCCCAGGCCACGATCTCTAAGGTGCTCCAGAAGGCCTCCAACAGTTCTCCTGGGCCTGATGGCCTACCTTACGCCGCATGGCTTTATCACCCACGTGGGCCCCAGATCCTGACTACTGTGATGTGGTGGTGTCTGAGTGGGCAGTACATGGGAAGTGACTTCAATTATCTTAGACAAGCTTTCATTCCTAAGGGGGAAGAAGGCGGGGACCCTGAAGGTATCATACGTGAAGCCTCCCAGACAAGACCCCTTGGGCTCAAAAACGCGGACGTCACGGTGATAACGGCAGCTGTCTTCTGGTCCCTCTCTGTAGAGATCCCCAACTTCGTCAGCAAGTTGCAGCGTGGCTTCGTTCGAGGGAGGAGCCATGGCATGAATGTGACCGAGCTCGACATGCACGCACGTGTGGCAGCGATGCGTGAGTGCGCCCCCCCATGCCCTCCCTGCTCTCGTGAGCTTCGATTTCGCACATGCCTTTCCCAGTCTTGCTCACCACTGGCTCCTTCTTGTCGTTGACTCCCTCGCTATCCCCTCCCCTCTCAAATGGTTCGTCCGAGTGATATATTCGAATGTTCTGCGTTTCGCGATGGCTGGACATGTTTTGCTGCCGCTCTTTCACATCCTCTCGGGTATAGTGCAAGGCTGTCCTGGCAGTGGTGCCCTGTACGCCCTCGCTTCTCACCCATTTCTTGCCCTGCTCGAGGACACCTTTGAAGAGAGAGCCGCCCCAGCAGCTAGCTCGACGGTGAGCGCCGAAACGCGCAGGCGACTGACGACTGGCGCGGCCCGTGCGTGTGCTGATGACCTCGGAGCAGTAGTGTATGTCTTAGCGGGGTTAAAAACCCTCTACAAGATGTTCCAATTTGCGGCGGCCTTTGCGGCCCTGCATTTAAAAGCTAGTAAGTGCTTTCTGACACCTCTCGCGGGTCCTTGTACCCCGGCCCTGGCCCAGAAATACAGAGACTGGATCGCTCGTGTGATCCCAGCCTGGGCCGAGTTCCAGATTCCCCCCTCGCTGAAATACCTCGGCCTGGTCCTTGGACCCGAAGTCCGTTGGCAATCCTGGATCGCTCCCCGAGCTAAGCACTCGATGCGTGTCCAAGCTATCGCTGCCGCTTCTCCTCCCACTGCTGTCGCCGCCGCAATGTATGACAAAAGGGCTCTGACGACTCTCTCCTACGTTGGTCAGTTCCTCCCTCTCCCTCCCAGATTCCCCCCAGTCAGAGCATGCCCTGTTAGCTTCTGTCTTTCGCGTCCCACGCTGCTCATTTGCCCGATCAGATTTCTTCAATATTCACATGTGGGGAGCACCGAAGTTCAGAAGCGGACTTGCGGTCAACCTCGCAGCACGTATGAGAGCAGCGCTGTGGACATTCCGAGGCTGGGAAGCAGTGTATGCACGACTGCATGCTGCTGCTCTGACCCAGAGGCCCATTCGTAATCTTTGTGAGAACAAATTGTCTCCCGCCTTCTGGGCCGATATCAGTATTGTGGAGCACGTCCGAGAGGCAGCTAGTGGCTTCCCATCAAGCCCGGCCTGGACGCAGTGTGGTAGAGCAGCGCTGGAGGAGGCACAGCCGATCCTTGCCCTGCTTAGGGGCCCATCTCAGAATGCTGGAGCTCGTCCTAAGCTCCAGCGTGCTTTGTGTGCTTCCATCTCGAGCTTCCTCCACCCCAATGCGGTCTCGTCCTCTCTTGCCCGCCGTCTGAAGGATTGGCACCCTTTGCACTCGAGAGAGATTAGTGACATTGACTGGGAAGGGGTGCGGGTCGCATGTGTCCAGATGCCGCCTGCCCTATCTGCTTCGTACATTAAATCTCTCTTTGGAGCGTG